CAATGACTGTTAAATATACTCTTTGTCATCCTTTTACACTCTCCAAGTGTCGGCATAGAACCAAACCGATGTTGTTGAACTTCACTTGAGAGCCTTCAGAGCAGATGGGCAGAAACAAAGAGATCTTCTTCTTCAAGTAGTCCTGTGAATCCCTCACAAACCGCTCACTTGATCTCTCACTCTTCACTCTTACAATCTCTCCAAAACACTCACACTCAATGATCCCTCTCAAAATAAAACAACTCCAAATGCACTTGTAATAGTTTCTAGGATTCCGTATATAGAAAGGACATGAAAAACCGTCCAAAAAACGGCTAATTTCAAGTTTTTCTGCGCAGTGGATCGTCCCGTACGAACCTGAGTTAGTACGGACGAACTTTGTAAAAAACTGTCCCGTATGAACCATTTGTGCATCAGTATGAACCAATTTCATCCTAGAACGAAATAGGTTCATCCTGGGATGAAAAATTTTGTCCAGTACAAATAGTTATATCAAAGGTCGGTTCCGAAAACTGTAGAATGTTGCTAGAAACAGCCATAGTCGGTTCCCATTGTCCTGGGAAGAACTGGACTTCGTCTGGACAAAATTCTTACATAGAGCAACTCGTCCTAGGACGAAAATGTTTCATCCTTGATGATCAGGACTTAGAAAAAATTTTCCAGTTCAATTCTTGTCTGTTCCATTGCTCTTACAAGGAGATAACTGATCTGATCATCCCATACGAACAATGTTCATCCCGTACGATCAGCACAAAACTTTTTCAAGATCTCCTTTAGTGTGTGTGAATTTATTCACTCAATTACAAACACTCCCTCTAAAATTTAATTCAAATAAAAAGTACAAGCTTCAAAATTACAAAGTATTTCATCCTGAATTTTATTTGAAGTCTTCGTTGTCTGGAGTTCGATTTTCCTGAAATATTAGTATACACAAGAGTAAAAACAAATCTTCCAAAAAATGTTAGGAGATAACAACACATAAAATAATAATATTTGGTATCATCAAAACTATACAAGTTGCAAGAATGTAATACATACAAATACTAACTTTCCTAACAATTAGCATGAGCATTACAAATACCAAAAGACACTCTTCTAAAAACAAAAGTTTAATAAGGACTAGTCAAGGTAGTTTTATCTTGATCTGCAAGTGCAAGAGATTTTTTATGATATATGGAATATCCATCTAGAAAATAAAAAAATGGATGCCCTGTCAACCTATCTAACAGCTGATTAAGAAAAGGAAAGGGAAAATAATCTTTTCTAGTGGCTTTACTTAATTTCCTATAATCTATGCAAATCCTCCAACCTGCGATAATTCTTGAGAAATTTGAAAATATCTTTCTTAACAATATCTTTTATGGAAGGGTTAGGTCTTATTGGAGGGTGCTCTTTTGATATTGAATTAACAACCATTAAAATTCTATGCATGTAAATTGAGGGACATATACCCTTAATATCAATAATTGTCTACCTAAAAGCTCTACTAAATTTACTCAAAATGCTAATCAATTTATTTTCTTGATGTGGTTTTAAATTTACTGAAATAATAACATGAAGAGTAGAGTTATTACCTAAAAAGGCATTCTTGATATGACTAGGTAAACCTTTAAGCTCTAATTTATGGGCCTCTTCAATGGATGGTTTTAAAAAAAACTTAAAAGAAAAAGATTATAACAATTCCAAATTTCCATTGATCAAAAACTCTTTCCCTTCATTTTTTTACAATAGAGCTCCCTAACATCAGATTATTCTTTCATCTTCTTCCTCTTCTAATAATTCTCCTTCTAAGAATTATTCTTTTAAACTCTCTATTACAACATCTTCAAAATCCATACCAAAAAATTTTTTATTCTTCTCTTGAGAGAATTTTATTAATTTAAGAACATTAATTATAACATCCTAATCTTGAACCCTCATAGTCAATTCACCCTTTTGCACATTGATCATGGCTTTTCCAGTAGCAAAGAAAGTATTCATAAACTGAAAGGTATTTTACTATCTTCTCCAATATCTAAAATAATAATATCAATAGGGAAAATGATTTTATCAACTTCTATTTCCCCTCTTGAATATGTGAAAGATCTATCAACTAACTGAAGAGTAACAAAAGTTTCTTCAAAATCTCCTTTATCAAATGTTTTAAAAATAGAAAGTAACATGAGGTTGATACTAGAACCTAAATCATATAAATCTCTCCCACAAAATTTTTCACCAATAGTTAAAGGAATGATAAAACTCCCATGATCTTTATACTTTTCATGAAATTTCTTTTAAATTATAGCACTACACTTTTCAATTAATGCTGTAGTATTAAATTCTCCAAGCTTATTTTTATTATTCAAAATATCCTTTATAAATTTTGAATAAGTGGGTATTAATTCTAAAGCTTCATAGAAGGGTTTATTAATGCTTAATTTTTACAATATTTCTAAGAATTTTTTGAGCTATTTTTCATGATTTTATTTGATTAACCTTTGAGGAAACGATGTTGGTGGTTTCTAAATAACCTTCTTAATTAAATTTTTAGGTTCTTTTATAAAGTGAGGTTGTTCAATTGAAGATTAGTTTTCTACTTATTCATTTTCACTATCATTGTAAGGTCTCCCAAATATTTGTCACTTTTTATTTGGATATTATGACATTATTCTTCCGAATTTTGGTAATTAATCAACATAACAAGATGTCTTATTTAATCTTCAATTTTTTTTAAGAGCATTAGATTGATTATGTAATTGGGTTCCTAGTTACATAACAAAATCATCCAAAAATATCTTATCATTCCTATCTTGATGGAGTTATTCTAAATCTGATTGATAATGCTACAGCGTTACATGATGTAATGCTATGGTGCATAAAATTTTAGACCTATATTGATATTGTTATACCCATATATCCTAGTTTTAACTTTTAAGTTAACTAATTTCCTAGAAATTGTTACAAAAAATAGTTAAAATTAACAAAACATCAATTTTATAAACACTTGCTACTCTCTTAGGATTTACTCTATCAGCATGCCACTAAAAATTATGAGTATATATTTCCTCTATTAATTCACATGCTTTCTCAAATGGCTTAGACATTAATATAATAGTCCGTATAGGTTGTTAGACCTATAACAATTATCTTAATGCTAACAAAGAGAGGGGGCGAATTGGTTATTTTAAAAATCTCTTGGAATTTTAAGAAAATCATTTTATACTTTTTGTACAAAGAAATTTATTTCAAATAAAAAACTTTTCAACAATAAAAATAAAAAGTGCAGGAAAATAGAATTGCAGTAAAAAAAAGAACACAAAAAATTTATAGTGGTTTGGCAACTAGACCTACATCTACTCCCTGAAGACTCCCTCTTCAGGTATTGCACTATTACCAAATTGACTCTTCTTTTTCTCCCACAACAAAGCAGAGAATCCTTTACAATTACCCTCTCTTCCACCAATCCCCGGTGCGATAAAGTACCATCATCCTTTCACACCCTCCATATGTCGGCAGAGAACTATCATCCTTTCGCACTCTCCAAGTGTCGGTAGAAAATTGACATCCTTTTACATCCTCCTCGTGTTGACAGATAATTGTCATCCTTTTACACTCTCTAAGTGTCAACAGAGAACCGAATCTTCTTCAAAGATCTTCTCTTGAGCATCTTAAAAGAAGAAAGGAAGAGATTTGGAACACTTAGAGATTCTCACTATTAGGCAACCTTATGAACTCTTCACACTCTGCTTGCAAGAACTCTCTCTCAAACACTCTCTCAAATCACTCTCACACTTGCTCTCAAAGAAAAAAATGAGAAGAAGTCATCCTTAGTCAATTTTTAGGACTATATATATAAAAGACACCAAAAACCATCCATAAAACTAAAAAAATTAATTTTGATCATCCACGATCATACAATATGATCGACAACCATATGTATTAATAGTTCAAATTTTGCTCGTACGATCTTGTACAAACCAAATTCATACACAAAAAGTCATCAGTAAGAACTTACATCATACAGTACGAACTGCTTTTAATCAAACCATGTTTCATATGGACAAAAATGTTCACATCAATTTCATACTCTAGATATCGTCTATACAAACCCAAGTTTGTCCTGAGCAAACACTTCAAAAAATTTACCTTCTCATATGGATGAAAATATTCACATCAATTTCGTACTCTATATTTTGTCTATACGAACCCAAGTTCATCCTATATGAGCACTTCAAAAAATGTACCTGATTCTATGAACAATAATGTTTGCATCAATTTCATACACTAGATGTCGTCTGTATAAACCTAAGTTAATCTCGAATGAATAATTCAAAAAATTTACCTATTCATATGGACAAAAATGTTCACATCAATTTCATACTCTGAACATCGTCTGTATGAACCCAAGTTTGTCCTAGATAAATAGTACAAAAAATTTACATGTTCGTATGGATGAAAATATATGTATCAATTTTTTTACTCTAGATGTCGTCTGTATAATGGAAACTTCATACAGTAAGAATAGTACTTATAAATTTTTCCATCCATGATTAGATTTATTACTTTTGGAGGGACGTTCACACTAAATCATCCCATACAATATAAAATCGTACCCTACGATTAGTTTTAAAAGTTACAATTTTTTACATGCTCTAGTGTGTGTTTGCACGGTTATCCAATTACAATCTCACTCTCTCAAACTCAATAAAATTATAAAAAGTATATACTTCAAATACAATTAATCCTAGTCTAATTTGTCTTGAAATCTTCAACTGTCTAGAGTATGATTTTTCTAAAATGTTAGTACAAACAAACAACAAAAGCAATATGTTCAATATATGTTTGGAGAAATAGTAATTAATATAAAAATATTTTGGAATCATCCAAAACACACATGATATGAAAACATAGTTATGAAAACTAAGTTACAACATAATAATCCTCTAGCTGTAGAATCGATGATTGCACTAAGAGATCCTATTAATCCATTATAAAATGTTTGAATAACTAACTAATCAGGTAAAGCATGGTGAGGGCATTTCTTAAGCAATTTATTAAATCTCTCCCAACTCTCATAAATCAATTCTCCTTCAAATTGGGTAAAAGAAGTGATATTATTTATAAGTTTAGTAGTCTTTGAAGGTGGAAAAAACTTAACAAGAAACTTATGAGACAACTCAATCCAAGTGGTTAAAGAGTGTGGGGTAAAGAATTGAACCACATCTTAGCTTTATCTCTTAGAGAAAATAGGAATAGTCTAAGTCTAATAGCATCAACACTAACACCATTATACTTAAATACTACATAAATTTTTAAGAAATTGGCTAAGTTTAAATTGGGATATTCAACATGAGTTCCCCCATACTAAGAATTTTGAATCAACTAAATTATTACAAGTTTTAATTTAAAATTATTAGCATGGATCATAAGACTATTAATGTTATCATGAATTTTGTCAATTAAAAGGATTAGTATAATCCAAAAGAGGTCTAAAATGATGTTAATTTAATATAGGTTCTCTCATTTTTATAATCTCTTTTTTTTTTCAAAATTTGTAAAGGGTTCTTTTTATTTCAACATCAAATTACAAAGGCTCATTTCTATGTCTATGAAGCATGCAACCATAAATATGCAATTAGCATATAAATTGAAACAAAAAAGAAAAGAAATAAGTAGGTTTAATTATATAATTTAATTCAATAATATAATTAAAATTATAAAAATAAAAATAATTCTTGGCAACGGGGCCAAAAACTTGATGGGGGCTATTGAGTGAACTTTTGAATTATATAAAATATAGAGCTCTACCACCCCTTAATAACTCTTAGGTTTTCTTTAATATATAAAATAAATAATAAAATCCCACTTAATATACACAAGTATACATGTCGAATAAATTAATAAAGTGATAGAGTAGAGTGTTAAACCCATGAAGAATTATGCATTTTTTTTAATAAACTATTTCTATTTACTTTAATTACTATAATTATCCTGCTGGAATACATATGATAATTTTTGGAGATTCAATTGCTGAATAAAATAGTAAAAATATTAGATATAATATTTTGTGATTTTTTTTTTATTGATGAATTTAAATTACATATTTTTCCTAATGATAATCCTCATGGTAACATGATTAAGAGTATATTCATTCCTAGATCTCTATCAAACTTGTAGGTGTGAAAAGGATAACTTTTGTCCTCTAATAGTTATAATATATCTTTAAGAACCTTGAAAATTTTGCATCCGATGTCTAGGCATACAAATATCATATCTTAATACTCTGGGTTGTTCTTTCATTCCTTTATCTAATATATACATTGCACTAAATTTTAACTACACATATGACTATACTTCCTATCATAGGTCTATTAATACTGTGATAAATTTTAAATACTAAAGCATTAGAATAATCCTTAAGAGGTCTAGAATGATCTTGATTGAATACAAGTTCTACCATTTTTTATAATATTTATTATTTAAAAAAATTTTAAATGGGTTCTTTGTATTTTAGCATCAAACAACAAATATTCTTTTCTATACCTATAAAGCATGCAACCATGAATATGCTATCAACATATAAATTAAATCAAAAAAGAAGCTATATAATATAATTAAATAATATAATTAAAATAGTAAAAATGCAACGGGGCCAAAAACTTAAACGGGGCTATGGAGTGAACTTCTGAATTATATAAAATCTAGGGCTATATCACCCCTAAACAATGCTATGAATTTGTTTGATATAAAAATTAAATAACAAAATCCCACTTAATATATACAAGTATGTGTGCCAAATTAAGTAATAAAGTGATAGAGTAGAGTGTCAAACCCACGAGGAAGTATACTTGTAAAAAACTACTACTTTTTATTCTAATTATAATAATTATCATACTGAAATATAAATGATATTTTTTGGAGATTCATTCACTAAATAAAGTAGTAAAAATATTATACACAATATTTAATTAAAGTGTTTTCAATTGATGAATTTAAATTGCATATTTTTCTAATGAGACTCCTCATATTAATGTTATTATAATTATATGTATTTCTAGATCTATGTGAGCTTGTAGGGGTGCAAAGAATATCTTCTAACCTCCTATAGTTATAATATCTCCTTAAGAACCTAGAACATTTTACATCCAATATTAAGGTATGAAAACATTCTATCTCAACACTCCTAGTTATTCTTGCATTATTCCGCTTAGGTTATACATCACACTAAATTTTAACTACACATATGGCCAGTCTATGTATCAAAAAAAGAGCTGGATAAAATTAAAAGAATATTTTAACAATTATAGAACAAGAGTATTCATTAGTACTGAATATGAATTTTACAACATCAATCCAAAGCAAGAGAATTAGCTATACATAAGATGAATAATTAGCAAACTCATTTTCATTAAACTCATGAAAGAATGAAAATGCAAGAGAGTGATATTACCATGAAGGATCAAAGTATCTCCTCTACACTCCTCCTATAACTTATAGAGTTAATTCAAGAAACAAGAGTTAAATACTCCAAATGATTTTATCTTATACTTCCCTAGCCTCCTTTAAATTTTATTCTAAGAGGAAACTAAAAAAGTACTAAAAAATTACTTAATTTTACATAAGTGACTGAACTCTCTTATAATATAATATCATACCTATTTATAAAAAAATATATGCAAAGGCATTTGCCACTATGTCGCTTGAAAGAATGGCACCACTGTGCCTTTCAAGTGAACTTGCCACTCAGCATTAGAACTTCTGCACTCATGTGACACCCAAAGACGTGGATCAATTATTTAGTTAACAATTGTTTCTTTTCATTGAGAGATTGTGGCCTTGGAAATTACAACTATAATGCCACGACATTGTTTACATTCGAGCACTACGACGTCTAAGTAGCAAAAATGGCACCAAGGCATGAGAAATTATAAATTCACGCTGTAGCACTTTATTCCTAATGTAGAGGCACTTATATATAGTGCTATCTATGTTCCCACTGCAGCACTTAAAAATAGAGAACTTGGCATTATAATATTGAAGGAAGCATTTCCATGTTCTTTTATCAGACGTCGTAGTGTTGTTTACTACTTAGAATTTTATGTCTTTTTATATTTTTTCCTTCACAAAATAACTAAAATAATATATTTTCAATGAAAGTAAAACACATAAAATAATATGTAATTTACACTTATTAGTGAGTTATAAGCATTATTAAGATAGAACATTTCAAAGCACGAACTTGTGAAGCATGACAAGTAGGAAAGCAAATAAAGTCCAAATTCAATTCAATTAAGAATATAATCACTACTAGCTATTAAAAATATTTATATAGATTTATTTAGACATATTCATACAGTAAGTTAAGGAAGAAAATAAATTAGACATGTGAAATTTTGATGATTGCACTATGTACACTTAGAAGAAATTTCTTGAAAATAAAAGTGAATCATTTAAAAAGATAGAATATTTTGAAATGGGAGAAGAAAATGTTGTATAATGTTCCATAATTCATATAGATCATGTAGTTAAGGGAAGGTAGAACCATTATATGTTGATATTGAAAACTAATTGGTAGATATCTTTAATAAACGCCTAAATTTTGATATATTCCTCATCTACTATTCCATTGAGAAATGTAGTTTTCACATTCATTTGTTGTAGCTCTAAATTGAAATGCCCAATAAGTGCCAAGATAATTCTAAAAGAAATCCTTTAGCATCAAGTCTTACTTTATATCTCTCTTTGTTCCCTAATGAGTCTCTTTTTGTCTTCATAAAGTCCTATTTACACCTTATGGATTTTGCACCATTATACAACTTAACAAGATCCCATATATTATTATTTGCCATTGAATTCATCTCATCTTTCATGGCATCAAACCATAAATATGATTCTTTACAACTTATGGCTTCTAAAAATATTTTAGGATCATTTTTTTAGCACCAATATTATAGTCCAACTCCTTAAGATACACAATCATATGCATATATGTCTCAAACTCTATTTTTAACCTTTCCATAACTCAAAAGAATTATTTGGATCAGCCTTAGATGAAACCCTATTTAATATATACACAACCATCTTGAGAGCGTCAGTCCACAAAAACTTAGGTAGTTTAGAACTACTAATCATGTTTCTCACCATGTATATCAATGTTCCATTCCTTCTATCAACTACACTATTTTGATTAGGTGAGCCAAGTAAACTATATTGGGCATCAATCCCTTTTTTTTTAAGGAACTTAGTAAATGAATCTGCATTTGTCCATTGTTGACCTCATTTTTATATGAGGTCACTAAGGCCCTTCCAAACTCCAGATTAATTCTAGATCCTAGGATCCACTCTAGACCTTAAGATCCTTTCCTATATTCAGACCTCAAGATCTACTCTAGACCTTAGGATCCTTTCCTAGAGCCAGACCTTAGGGCCTACTCTAGAGACTAGGATTCCCTTAGATCCTAGAACCCCTCTAAATCTTAGGACCAATCTAGTTCCAAATCAATCCCTACCCTTGATCAACTTCAATCTCAAATCAATCCCCACCTTTGATCAACTCCAACTTCAACTTAATCCCTACCCTTGATTGATTCAAATCTCAAATCTCATTCAATTCAAACCCCAATTAATTCAAATTCCAAACACATCCAAACTTTGATTCAATCCACTTGAGAATCCAAATTCCACTAGACTTTGACCCTACCTTTGATTTAGCTTTGACCCTATCCATTCATTAACAATCACCACATGATTGTAAATGATTTGGATACTCCAATCATTCAAATTTGAAATCCATTCCAAATCCAGAAATCCAGACTCAAATCCAAAGTCTTGAGGCCTTGTCCTAATCACCCTTTTTAAAGATTTTTCAAACATCTCAAAACCCAGTCAAAATGTCCTCTAATTCGGGTCTATCACTTGCAAGTGATAAGACGTGTCTTTAGAGGCTACCCTCCAATTTTGAGCGCATTCTGAGGCCATCTAACCCCAGAAATCTGAATTAAAATCCAAAGGCTGTAAAACCTTCAAATATTTACAGCCTATGCCACTGAACCTAACCCCTTGAAGATTTTTGATCTTGGAGCCCTTATCAAAGCCTCCAATCACTTCCCAGACTCTTGATTTTAACCC